GTCCGGCGTTAAGTAAGTAGTCAGTCACTTGTGTTATAATTAGAAATAAAGGCACTTTTTACTTTCTATCTTCTAAAACATTGCCTTAGTTATGCCACTCCTATTGGTCGATTTTCTATAAACCTCCTTATATGGGCAGTAATTATTTATCTAAATAGGAAATAACTGACATAATTTTTTCTTTTAGTGCGGGTGGGGTCGAACACCGTTTCAATTTTGAACGCGCAATTTCATGACTTCGGATTTTATAAATATGAATGACACTTATTTAGGTATCTGTCTAATATCCCTATCCGTTTGCTACCAGTTTCTCTCTCTGTTTGCGACTTTCTCACTATCTCTCTCTCTCTCTCTTTGCTACCCTCAGTCTTGGTCTCTCTCTCTCTCTTTGCTACCCTCAGTCTTGCTCTCTCTCTCTCTCTTTGCTACCCTCAGTCTTGCTCTCTCTCTCTCTCTTTGCTACCCTCAGTCTTGCTCTCTCTCTCTCTTTTTGCTACCCTCAGTCTTGCTCTCTCTCTCTCTCTTTTGCTACCCTCAGTCTCTCTCTCTCTCTGCTCCCTCAGTCTTGCTCTCTCTCTCTCTTTGCTACCCTCAGTCTTGCTCTCTCTCTCTCTCTTTGCTACCCTCAGTCTTGCTCTCTCTCTCTCTTTTGCTACCCTCAGTCTCTCTCTCTCTCTTTTTGCTACCCTCAGTCTCTCTCTCTCTTTTTGCTACCCTCAGTCTTGCTCTCTCTCTCTCTTTGCTACCCTCAGTCTTGCTCTCTCTCTCTCTTTGCTACCCTCAGTCTTGCTCTCTCTCTCTCTCTTTTGCTACCCTCAGTCTTGCCCTCTCTCTCTTTGCTCCCTCTCTCTCTCTCTTTGCTACCCTCAGTCTTGCCCTCTCTCTCTTTGCTACCCTCAGTCTTGCCCTCTCTCTCTCTCTTTGCTACCCTCAGTCTCTGCTCTCTCTCTCTCTTTGCTACCCTCAGTCTTGCTCTCTCTCTCTCTCTGCCCCTCAGTCTTGCTCTCTCTCTCTCTCTTTGCTACCCTCAGTCTCTATCCCTCTCTCTCTCTTTGCTACCCTCAGTCTTGCCCTCTCTCTCTCTCTTTGCTACCCTCAGTCTTGCCCTCTCTCTCTCTCTTTGCTATCTCTCTACCCTCAGTCTCTATCTCTCTATCTCTCTCTTTGCTACCCTCAGTCTCTATCTCTCTATCTCTCTCTGATACCCTCAGTCTCTCTCTCTGATACCCTCAGTCTCTCTCTCTGATACCCTCAGTCTCTCTCTCTGATACCCTCAGTCTCTCTCTCTGATACCCTCAGTCTCTCTCTCTCTCTCTGATACCCTCAGTCTCTCTATCTCTCTCTGATACCCTCAGTCTCTCTATCTCTCTCTGATACCCTCAGTCTCTATCTCTCTGATACCCTCCCTCTCTCTCTATCTCTCTCTCTCTCTCTCTCTGATACCCTCAGTCTCTCTATCTCTCTCTCTCTCTCTCTCTCTGATACCCTCAGTCTCTCTATCTCTCTCTCTCTCTCTCTCTGATACCCTCAGTCTCTCTCTTTTCTACCACTATTTCAGTTTACTATCAATCTTTGTCGTTTTTTTACCAATGTTCCCCTATGTTTATTTCCTCCTTTCTTTCTCACCTATTTCAGATCTCTCTCTCTCTCTCTCTCTCTCTCTTTTCCAACCACTCTTTCTCTGTTGGCTAGCCATCTCTTTCACTCCGTTCCTTTTAAAGTTTTCTTCAACTCTTCACTAAATCTCTCTTGCTTTATTTTTTATCTTGATTGTTTACTTTATCAGTAAACATGTTTTATTTTGTTATCATCCATACTCATCCCTGGGAACTTGTGATAAATTCGGGTGTCAGGGAACTTACGGTATTTCTTCTAAAATGACCACCTGTGAACGACATAACTAACCTGAACGTATCTTTTTTTTTTACCCCACACTAGCAAAATCCTATACAATAGAGGGGCTGATTATATCATTTTTTTTTTCTTAGTCTAGTCCTGAAGTCATTTCGACAGAAGATTCAACACAGTTTTCAATACTAATGAGTCTTCTTTTCTCCTTTTGCCGCGTGAGAGGATTATCTATTTCTTCTTTTCAAAATCTTTTATCCATATCCAGTTTAATGTGTTACACATTATATATATATATATATATATATATATATATATATATATATATATATATATATATATATCCATTATTTATTTTTTTTCTGTTTTCACCATGCATTTTCGTGATCTTCAGCAAGATGTATAAAAGGGAAAAAATATAATGAAAAAAAATTACAGAAGTCATGGAAAGATTACATTAGATAACTCGTCCATAAATCAAGAAATACATCTGTAATACATAAATATGCGAAAGAACCTGTAAGATTAAGACTAGCTTAGGGCAAAGCTGTCCAAGATAAAGAAAAGCAGAAAGCAGCAGTACCAAATAAGATTGTATTATATACTGAAAGCTTCATACGATTTGGGATTTGATAGGCTTAACGAAATTGTAAATATAACAGCGGTGAAATACTAGAAGATATTAGTAGTTTAATGTTCATAGCGCTCAGGTGCAAATAATGCGTCCTTAGATCGGAAATCTGTTTCGAACTGTGTAGGGTTAGGGTTTAAAAAAATCCTATCAATGAGCAATAGAAAGATTTAAAATGTTACACAAACATTTGCTATGGTATTATGATTTTTTTTATAATTATTTCACCCCCAGTAAATCGATAATGCCACTAAGACGCAAGGAAGTAAAATCGATTAAGAAATTACTGACGAGAAAAGACAATGACAGAACAGGTTTCAGAAAGAAACAAGATTTAGTTTTGAAGATTGTAGTTGACAGGAAGCAAGAAACCGGACGAAAGATTGATTTGTTTGTATGATGGCATATCAAATACTTATGGGTCATTTTATACCGACTACGAGAAAAGAAACTATTAGAGTAGAACTTATAGTTACATCGGGACATTTTAACAGTAAAACAATGAGACCTGGTTGACAATCAATTAGTATACCTAAATTCATTCGGACGAAGTACCAAGGAGGAGAGATCGTTAGAACAATTGCCATGAAAATATTTATTGAATAACAAAAGAAGCTCTGTAATGGCTGTGGTAAGGTGACTGAAGTTGAGATTCCAGGCCAGAACATTACACTTTATTTCTTAAAAATTTCGAAATATATAGCAGGTGCACCAGACTCCATATGACAGTAATATTAAATGCGCGGACAAATGGTAGATTTATAAATGTGTAAGATCAATTCTGGTGAGAGAAATTGACTGGTGCGACACAGTGAACCAACTTTCTTAGCAACAGACCTAGAAATTGATTTAATATAATCACTCCACTTCATGTCAGTAGAAGACATGAGACCAAAAAGTTCCTCTCCTGAAGGTTAGCATCAGTCAAATCAATTTCAAATAGCTCGATTTACCCAAGGTGTTCCATTAATCCTTAAACTCAACAAAAAGCACAGCTTGGAAACTGAGCATCATCTTTAAGAAATAGATGGAAAAATAAAAGTATATTTCCTCGTCGGATTTACTTCCCCTGTACAGTGAAACTATCAGATGAAAACCATATGACTTAGTGGGATCTCTTACCGGTAGACATTTTTGCAATGTAAAATACGCAGATGACATTGTGTTAATGACACGAGCAGAAAGAAAACGATGCTGTTAAACACGGTTTCAAACATGAAGAGATTTGAAGCAACAGAAATGTGGTTCTACAGAAAGATGTTGAGAATACAATGGATAGAATATGTGAGCAACGAGTAAAAATAAGAAAAGAAACTTATACTGAATATTAGAAAGTAGGACACCTAATGAGGAAAGAGGGTTTGGAAAATTTGTGCCAGTGTGTTCAGCTAAAACTAAAAAAAAAGAAACAATAAAAGACAAAATAAATATATAGAGACTCAGTATCACCCTAAAGGGCAGTTGTGTGTGTGTGTGTGTGTGTGTGTGTATTATTGAACTATTAATATTTTTCGGCCATCTTATGGAAAATAAATAATTTTTTATTCAATCTTTAAAAATTAATCCTTATTTTTTTATTTTATTTTTTTTTTTTTGGTTTGTAACTAACATAAAAAGAAAATAATTTTAAATCAAGTTTTATTAAAGCAAAAATTTATAATCACAAGAGAGGTTGAAGGCAAGAGAATCAAACAAGGAATAACATACTTAATGATCTTGAGTAAGTGTATAGGGGAAGAAGGTTTAGTAGAAATAACAAAAAGACAAAATTTATAAAGTCATACGGACAGGAAATTGTGGAGATCCGTGATCGCTTACATCCGGGAAAGTATATGGTACATAAAAATGTAGCAAGAAGAAAGGATTAGCCATTAATAGTTGTATCAACTTGTAAAACAAAACCTATTGGGGGCATCAAAATCATACAGTGGTAGACTAGTAAGAGAAGTTATTAAGAGCTACAAAGGAGAGGAAATTGAGGAGTCATGATCGCCAAAGTTCAGAAGAAGCGCAAAGAACAACAACCACAGATGATGGAAAAGTGTGACAGAAATGTGAAGCGAATAGTAATAATGAAATATGCCTTACAGAAATACGAGATAAGATAACCATTATATAAAGTTTCTGATCTATGTAATACTTGATTTCCTATATGACATAATTTCTCCACAGATGATAACTTGAAGTGATCGAGATACTGTTTTGTCAACGAAAGCCGAGACTAGCATAGGAAGGCCATGTGTGAATCGAGGAATTATAAAAGTGGATAATAACTAAAAGTGGGGCTACTTCAATAAATTAGTCCCTGCTAAAAAAAAAAGTCTATTTTTTCTCGTTGAACAATTATTGTAATCATTAAAACATTAAGCCACCAATTTTGTGACGATAAAAAAAATATTGATTTGTTTATTCCATCAATTTGAAAAATGAGTCCTTGTTATAATATCGTTACAGTCCAATCGAACCCTGAAATTTTAGTTATCGAACCTCGCCGTTATTTAAAAATGTTAAGGGTCACGTGACGTTGAAACACCGGTTCCCGTACGATCACCGAAGTTAAGCAACGTCGATCCTGGTCACGAACTAGATGGATGTCCACTTGGGAATACTTGGGTAGTGACTTGGATTATATGGATGGTGTAATGGGCAATCCATTATTTAAAGCCAGGAAATATTCTTAGATTTTAAGGGGTTTTTTTTAGGTAATGATTTAGTGACACAAATTTTACTAATTAACCCATAGCTAGGGGTCAAGGTGTGGCTTCATAACTTTCCCAATGGTATTTATGCGTAAGTGACTATAATGGACAATACTGGAATGGAAACTCGGCTCTCCAATTACCAATTTTTAGTCATTTTCCATTTTACCACTACCACAAGCTCGCAGCACCTTTTATTCTCAAGCGTTCACTCGTCGACGTACTGACCAGACACAATATTGCTTAACTACGGTGATAATGATTTTGTGTGAATCGATATCGAAAAAGCTTACAAAAATTCTCGAAAATCAATACAGGAAGTTGTGGAGAGCTGCGATCGTCCACTTCCTGATAGAATAAGGAACAATAAATATTATTTGTATTTCATTTGAATCACTTATGTATTCCAGTACACTTTTCTTGCAAATCTTCTCCAGTAGAAACTGGGAACAATTACGACAATGATGTTTGCTATTACTTTATTCTTCAATTCACAAAACTAACGAACATCTTTTATTCATGCATACTGCAAAACTCTTCTACAACTTTACGCAATATATCCATAATAAATCGAGGTAGTCGTACAGAAATACCTTTTTGTTAGAGAACAATGAAATATATTTAGAACTTCAGTATTTTTCCATCTTTTTGGTCGGAACCAAAAAGAATCGAATATCAACTTCTAGGTTACCCGTCCCAGCCAGTAACCTGTACCTCTTTATTACACTTCGAGGAGAAAGGTCAAGTTCACGACCCTACTGCTCGAGACATCCCAAACAGCAGTGCCGAGGAAACACTACTATTTTTAAAACCACCCATAATTATGTGTTAGGCTTGTCCCTTTAAGCCGAACTTGTGTCGAATTTTACCACGTCAAGAGGCGACTGCGCGGGCAGTTTTATGTGTGTGTGTGTGTGTGTGTGTGGCTCTCTTAACCGTTTCTAGCAAGCGGTGGTCTTCATAGAATCAGGCCTCCAGGGTGATTTAAAAAGAAAATAAGGGATTTTCGTTTTGTTTTTTTGCTTTTTTAGGTTTGTTTTTTGTTTGTTTTGGCTTTGTTTATTTTTGCTTTGTTTGTTTTTGTAATTTTTGTTTGTTTTTTTTTTTGCTTTTGTAATTTTTGTTTGTTTTTTTTTGCTTTTGTAATGTTTGTTTGTTTTTTTTTGCTTTTGTAATGTTTGTTTGTTTTTTTTTGCTTTTGTAATGTTTGTTTGTTTTTTTTTTTGCTTTTGTAATGTTTTTTGTTTTTGCTTTTGTAATGTTTGTTTGTTTTTGTTTTTTGCTTTTGTAATGTTTGTTTGTTTTTGGCGGGGGGTGTTTGTTTTTTTGTTAATTAATCTCAGTACCGGAGAATGGAGTAATGGATAGCGGCTCAGATTGAGGAATCGAATCCATTACATTCACTTACGTGCTAACACCCTTGGGAAAGGTATGAATCCTTTTCTCCTCCCCCCCAGCTATGGGTAAATGGCAGTATAGACTGAGTTCTAAAGCCTTGAATGGAAAGAAATGGCAAACTACTGCAGGAAAAATTTACCTTGACAGTCATGTATCGAAAGATAAATGATCGCCTAAGCGTGTATTATTCATGGCCCATAACTGACTGACAGAAGAATGAATCTAGCCCAGAAGCGTTTAGGAATGGGCCGGTGCCACACCCTGATCTTAAACAAGATCACAGTGAGAAATACATACGTACAAAGCAGCAGAAGAATAATACTGATGTAAATTGATACAAAAGTTTTTCTCACATACACTTCCGATCACCAAAGTTAAGCAACGCTGACATTTGTTAGTGTTTATATGGGTGACAGCCTGTGAATAAAAGATGCTGTAACTTTGGGTGTATGCGTGGTGTAAGGGATACGGTTCGAATTCCAGTTGAGTTTGTTACATTCACTTTGTGGCCTTATCACGAGTACATTACATGGTAATATGAGGTAAATAATAAAGATGGCAACCAGTCTAAAAGAAAGGAAACGGAATTCCAAACTGGGAAGAAAACAATGGCATACATCTCCACTATCGTGTTGGGTTTTTTTTTTTTTCATTTTTTTTTTTTTTGTTTCTGTTGTTTTTTTTTTGTTTTTTTTTTTGTTTGATTTTTTGGTTTGTGTCTTTTTGTTGTTAGTTTGCGTTTTTTGTTGTTTTTGTTTAAATTACTCTCAGTACAGGACCACGGTGGAGAAGTGGATAGCGACTCGGATTGAGGAATCGGAAAGCCGAGTTTTGAATCCATTATATTCACTTACGTTCTAATACCCTTGGGAAAGGTATGAATCCTCCTTCTCCTCCAAACCCAGCTTTGGGTAAATAGCAGTACAGACCGGGTTCTATAACCTTGAATGGCAACTGGTCTACCGCAGAAAGAAACGGCAACCTACTGCTGGAAAAAAAATCCGCCTCTTCAGTCCAGTGTGTCTATGCGCAAATATTAAACAAATGGCGATATAAGAGCCTTAGAAAAAGAAAACTCTGAATTCTACTCTGTAGAAGTTATGGCAATTAAGACATGAGGTAAGTGTGCTGAAATTATTGCCTTGTGCCTAACTTAGTAGACTTTATTTAAGCAACATATATAACTAACACTTTGAACAGGCGAACACTACGTAAAATTGATAGTGATCACCTGTAATTTGCGGTCAGGGATCAGACATCTGTTTTCAAATCATTATCTTCCCAATGCATTGACAATGGGTGAGAATCACAAATATATTTTGATGTCTGTGGCAATGGCCGATGAATCGGGGATATATTTGGATGACTTAGCATCAAATACGGCTTTGTGTGCGCATAGGTTTTAGACACACACGAAAAGCGACGCCGCATCAAATATAGCCCCCCCCCCCGACATTCTGTAATTTTTATTTTTGGCTATTTTGGGTTAAAGATGTCTTGAAAACTGTTCACTCAAAAGTACAAACTGTCACACATTTTCTCTCTCTCTCTCTCGAATTCTCGGCAGGAGTGAGATGAGCGCTTGCAGAAAGTCATACTTTTTTTTTCCTGAAGACATTCTTTAATACATCTTACTTAATTTGGCACAGTAAGAACCAAACATGCTTCTCTTTTCAGGTAATCATGGCTCTTCAACTTCCTTGACCTTTTACCATCCTCCTTACTCGCTATTTTCTTTGCTTCTCTTTCCTCTTTCCCTCATTATTTTGTGAGTATTAAATTCTCCTGTCCTTTTTTCTTCGTGTGTCTCGGTTTGGTTTTGTTTTACGACATATCAACCTCAATGGGTTAACGCCCACAAGATTTTTAGGTCAGTTTCATTTGAATAGAATATGTATTCTTTGCATGAAAGCAGTTTTTAGATCAGATTTCGCTGACGTATTTTTGCAAAGAGGGTTGCATTATTGTTTGATTTTTATTTTTATTTTATTTATTTTTTTTTTTTTCGATTTTATCCCTCTCGCTTAGCTAAAATAGCTAGCGAAGAAAATTCAAAATTCACGCGAAAAAGTTTTGTGGGGTTCAGGTATATTACTAGTGCGACGCGGAAATCGATAATCTTCAAGACTGATATACTGCTATTAGGGGGAGAACAAAATTTCTTCCTTGTTAAGGACTAAGTGTACGGACATAATACACTGTGGAAGAATTGTAGATACTTATTCAGCAACTATTACAACAAATAATACGAGAGCTGATTGAATATCAAGAACAGATAAAAGCAATCCTGAAAAAGCAAGGAACGGACATTGCGTTGATTTCGTTTTCGCCGAACTTAATTACCTTCCAGAAGATTACATTCCTATCGTACATCAGAATGCACGAGATTATTTTTCGAGAAGAATGTCAAGGATGTTCGGAGTAAAATAAGGCGTCTTTCCTTACGAAACTGATCATGAAAAACATCTGAATTCCATTTTGCCGAATGCTCCAGAAATAGTGCAATTTCACGAAACTATCGATATTATCGAAAATCTTTGAAAAGAATTTACTGTTTTATACACGTTGAAAGTGCATGAACCTTAATGAGGACAAAAATGACGATTTTGTCACATATGCCGGTAAGGTCAAACGTGAGTGTGAGAAATTTAAACTGGATGAATTATCCCCAGAGAAATTTAAATGTCTAATTTTTGTTAAAGGTCTGATAGCAAGCAACGATTCTGAAATATGTTCTCAAATGCTTACAAAACTTTGAACAGGATTCAAAGTTAGCGATACCGATTATTGCGGAAGTGCCAAAAATTGTCAATTTAAAACGTGATACAGCGAAAATCGAGTCAAATGCAAATCACAAATATAAATGGTTGGGAAAAAGACGGTGCAACTGAAAGAAAAAACGCAGAATAAAAAATACTGTAAAACTTATCTCCTGCTATGGCATGCTTCATTTAAGAAAGGACTGCCAATTTTAAAAACAAAATTGTTTAATTGTGGGAAAACATGCCATAAAAGAAGTTACCGTAAGCCGAAAAGAAATACACGAATTAGCTTACTGAAAGTAATTCTACTAGCTAAAAAACTAGAAAAATTGTGATGTTACAAATGAATAACGTTACGGTGATATCTCAAGCGGATACTGGTAGAGATATTACAATTATTGATGAGTAAACTTGGGAGATAATTGTCACGCCTAAATTGAGAAAAACTGTCAAAGTTCCAAGAATATCGGGCAAGAAATTAATGTTCTTTGGGAAAAATCACGTAATAGCGCTCTTTTCGTTAAAAAAAAAGAAAACAAGTTTATATATTTAAAAAAAATCTCATTTTTATTTACTAGGTGTTGACTGGCTAGGCTAGAATTATTTGAACTTTGGAATTAGCCGATTATTTCATTCTGTGGAAAAATTAATTGTTCGCCAGAGAGAAAGATTACAGCTAAAGAAACTCTAAGTAAACTTAAAAAAATAAATTCAGGAATATTTTTCTCTTTGAAAAATATACAGTCAAAGGCATT